AGAGCTGTACACAGGTATTGCCAGCACCAGACAACGGAGAGCCAGGCGATGTAGGTAAGACATTTTCTAGAACATCTCAGAAAATTTGACAGGTATGTGAAGTATGCTGACTAAGGCAAAGAGAGAGAAACCTTACTTGAAACAAAGAACCACATTCTGGAACATGAAAACAAAATCTCTTGTGTTCAAACATCTGCAGTTCATTTGTTTTACGTAAAGAAGTGCCTGAGATCTCCTTGGAGACTTTCCGATTCTGATATAAATACTGTGTCAACTCAAAGTAACCAGGAAACAAACTTTCCTGGAACAGGGGTAGGGCTAAACACCAGAAATGCCCAGTCTAGAATCACCTCAGCCACAGAAGTTGCAGATATGCACACACTCCAGTGAAAAAACTGAACCCTTGTTCTGTTACCCAACCTGGTGGAAATCTGGGATAACACAGAAAAAGCTAAATTTCCAATAGGGCTGAGTATGTAAAGAAGGCACTGAGAAGAAACCAGTGAGTGTGCAGCATTAAAGCAGGAGGCAGGGACAGTTTGAGAGACAACTGTGGTGCCACCAGGCTCATAGGCCATGGACAAAACACTGCTCCCAGAGCCGAGCTGACCTAAAGCAGACACTACTCCACAACAGGCAGTCCGCTACCAAAAACCAAATTGCAGCTCCAATCCCATCACAGCACTCTGTTCATAGGCCCCACTTGCTCCCTCTTCTCTTATTATTTAGTGCTGATTTCATTCGTCTTTATCTCAGCTGTTTTCTTCTCCTTCCTGCCATTGCTCTCTTTTCTTTAGCCTTGTTCTTCCACAGTGGGCAAACTCAGAACCATTTATATGCACTGGCAGAATAATGTGTTGCTCCCTGGCTGGGGATGCCAGTACCCACTGAGGTCCCTCAGGCAGGGCACAGGGCATACTGCTGCGCCTGTGTCCCCTCCCTCCCCTCTACTCTGCTGCCTTTCCCGGCTCCATAGGATTCCCGGAGCAAGTGAGAGCAAGGGGATAGGATGGGCTAAGTACGGGGATACCACGCCTCAGCTACTGCTTTGGTTAGGGATGCCAAACTCTTAGACCAGCAGTAGACACAAGGCCTCCTGTCTCTTGATGTGAAATAAACAGAACACTTCAGAAGTCTGTCCAGCAGCTGAAGAGTCAGCAGAGACCTTTGTAGAACAATGCAAAACCAAACCAAAACAAAAACACCTCCTTCTTCAAAAAACCCCAAACCACTGAAAGCAGTATTCCTCATACAACTACTCATATTAACTACAGTTTTCATGCAATTATTCAGCAATGCACAGATATGCTAACCTAGAGCAAGTGGGGAGGCCCCAAGACTTGAAACCATAAGCTGGCCAGGTGCAGAACCACGTGCTCAGTGAGGGTCTGTTACAGCAATTACCCACTTTGTGGTTTTAGGCAGCCTTAGGAGCTGTGCTTGGCACACTACCCACCGCAAGTCAGTATTGCATATGGTACGTATTTACTAAAAGGCTACAGATGATAAGCTTTAAATTCATATTCATTCATTTCCAGAACTTTCTATGTCAAAGCTCTAGAAGGAAGAGCACTTTTACATCGTGTCTGCTTAGGGGAAGAAAACATGCATTTTGACTTCTGTACATAACGCTAGGTTACATTTTCTAGACTAACTTTTACAATGCTCGGTTTATGCTGTGCTTCATTTCTGGCAGCAGAACCGCCCTACCTACATAGCAAGCACAAGTGTCTGACATCCAGATCTGAGCAACATCACATGAAGATGTACTGTTATTACAACTGTAAAACTGAAATGCCTTCTCATAATCCGAAGGGTGCTTACGTACTATTTCCATAGCATGGCTAATTTATTTCATAAGAATCTCTGCGGTAGAGAAAAAACTTCACTTAGAATATTCCTGCTGTGCTACAGCTGAGGGGCCCATTGCACTGTGTGTTCCTGGGTTCAGTGATAGGCTCAAAGCTCTCCACTCTCACTGCCACATTTAGACATTACTTCCATCTTTTCCTTGGAACCCCACCTAGTTAGGAGCTAAACTAAGATGACAGCAAATCAGGCCAAGATGTTTTTAAAAGGATGAGAACCTAGGAAATTTTCTAGTAGGGTGCATGCATTTTTTGGAAAAACAAAACAAAACAAAACAAAGCAACAAAGCAGAATATCATTAAACAAACAAATAAATCCTAACATAAACACACTTATGAAGCACAGTGTAAGTTAATGGCTGTCACCTTCTAAAGGTATGAACACTGAAAGCAGGAACATGACTGCTTGGATTAATGATGTGATTCCTGGCCAGAAGTTGACAATTCTGTTCCTCCTCTTGCAAAAATTCCTCAGGCAGAGAGCAGCTGCAAGAAGCCCAGCTTGCTGAGGTGAGCAGCTACATGACACTAATAAACTGCACAGTGACCTGCTGCTTGGGGAACAGAACTGGGATAAACAGGCTGGATTCTCTCTGTACATTTGATTTTGACCTCTTTCAAGACTATTACCAAGTCACATAAGCCATGCAAGCCATTTAAAGTTTCATGTTACAGTTCTGGTTGTTTTCTGACTTCATTAACACCACACACAAGTAAGACCAGGAGGATAAACAAGCTACTGCTTTAGCACCATGCAGCTGATGCACAGTCCATGCAGGTGATGTTGCTTACATTCCAGCCTGCCATGATCAGTAGGAACTGAGCTGAAAGCATCTTGCAGCCATTGGGCTGTCTCATGGGTTAGTTTCCCCTCACACCTTTCAGAGAAAAACTGACAAAACTGAACTTCACAGCATTTTTTTCTCAACTGCAACACGTCTGCTGCAGTGACCACTGTGCTCATCCCCTTCTCTTCAATCTATGACTTCTAAAGGTGAACAAGGAGGAGACTTACAAGGAAAAAAAAGTCATCATCTTGATGATCACTGGACATCTGCAAATGTGGCAGCGGCATTTTGCTGAGCTACGAGCAATCTCTAATTCAGAGGGAAAGAATTCCATAGAAATTATGTTCCAGAAGAGGCTACAGCAGCAGGCCAGGATGGCAGCCACATCCCTCAGTTCGAGCACTGCAGGATTGAACCACTCACAGCAGAGGCATTTGCAGTCATTCCCTTTCTTGACGCTTGGATGAACAAAGCACTTACTCAATACGCTCAACCCCCCACATAGCCAGAATCCAGCTGGCCTGCTGTCCGGGGGGAATTGCAAATATGCCCAAAGCACTCGTGAAACTTTGTAGCACCTCCGCCACTCCACATCACTACAGGAACCCTGCTACATTCTGTTTCCTGCTTGCTCAGAGCAACCTTGAGCTTCACTGTATCACTGTCCACACACTATGGGAGTGAGCAGTGGAACTAATTTATCAGGTAAAAGAAGGAAGTGATAAAAATGCAGAGTGTCATTAAGGAAGGAATTAGTACGCCCACAGAAGTTCACAACTGCAAACCCAGAGCCTTGCCCTGACATGACCATCACCTCCTACCAGAAACGCGGGCTCCACAAACACAAGCTTTATTTCTTGTTCTTTTTCCGTTTACCAGCAAACACATTACAATCCTCATCCATAATTTATTAAGTCCTTAAACCTAGTTCAAACTTTTTTTGTTTGAATAATACCCTAAGCAATTGTTCGAATTTGAGTGCAGTTTGATTCAGGCTCTGTGACCCCACCATGTGTGCCACAGACAACTGAGACCCTCTGCACTGCCCAGCACAGCCTGTTCCTTCTTGGACTGACACAAACACATTCAGAAACTCCCAGAGGTGCCTGTGAACCAAGAGCTCATAAATGAGTAGATTGGATCCACACTGCAAGAACTTTCTCTTTTAAAATAAATATACATATTAGCACCATTAAAGGAGTTGCATCTCCTTTAATGCATCTCCTAAGTTGCATCTAGTTATTTCAAACCTGACCTGGCTTTGCAGCTTTGCAAACCTCACCTTCTCTCACACTCCAAAAAGTGGGCAGCTGTGCAGCTGACTGCACTTCTGCTTTCAGCAGAAAGGTGCATCTACCTGTCAGGTTTGCAGCTGATGAGTTACCTGCTGTGCACACACCAGCCTGCAATTCCTACTGCATTCAGTACAGCGGTTTTTCTTCCAGTGTAGCAGAGACGTGTGACTCATTATGGCAAACCTGGATGCCAACTTTGAAGTTTCAAAGGTCAGATTTTTGTTTTATCTAAGATACGAAAGTGTTGGATTTTTTTTTCTTCTTCGTTTTCCTCTTGTTCTGCTGGGAACAAGACCGCTGAGGCTCCTTCCAAAGAGCACGATCGTCCATCACCCCCTCGTGCTGCCGACTCCTTAAAAGGCCGCGGCGTTACCTCGGCGCGGCCCGGGGCCAGAGCAGCCTAGCGGGGTTCCAGCGGAACACGGCACGCTCGCCGCCTTATTTGGGAAACCCTGGCCATCAGCAGGGCCTGGCACCGCTCGCAGCCAGGGAGCTTCTGTAAACTGCGCCTCTGGCAGGGGGTGAACGAGCGGGCACCTCGCGCCGCGGATCCCAGCGAAGAGCGGGGGCGGGACGCCGGGGCACCGAGCGGGGCTCGCCCGCTCCGCAACGGCCCCGAGCGAGCAGCCCCGGGCCGGCCGCGTGCGAGGCAGCTATCGCAGGAAAGAGGAAAAGGAAGCCCCGGGCCGAGCGAGCCCGCCCGCCGGCGCGCCCCGTGCGGGGACACCGGGCCGGGGCGGGCGCGGAGGCGGCCGGATCAGAGCCCCGCCCGGCCCCGCACCCCGCGGCGGGCGGGAGGCGTATGGGAGCGCCGGCGGCTCCTCCCCGGCCGTGCCTGCGGGAGTGGGAATAAAGACAGATAGCGGGGCCCGGAGCAGAGCGCGGAAAGTTTCCTGCGCGGCCCGCGGGCGGCGGCAGCGATGCCTGTGCGGCGCGGAGCGCTGGGGCTGGGCGGGCTCCGCGGGCCGTAGGGCAGCGAGCGGGGAGCGGCGAGCCCCCGGCCCGTCCTCTGGGCGGCGGGAGGAGGCGGCCCGCGCGAGGACGGGGACGCGGCCGGAGCGGGAGCGGCAGCTCGGAGGCGGCCGCCGCTCGGGGGAAAGATGAGCTTGTTGTCAGCCATCGACACCAGCGCCGCGTCCGTGTACCAGCCCGCCCAGCTCCTCAACTGGGTCTATCTCTCGCTGCAAGACACGCACCAGGCCAGCGCCTTCGATGCCTTCCGCCCCGAGCCCTCCTCCTCGCAGCACCCCGACCTCGGCTACACCAAGAGCCCCCCGGAGCTGGGCTCCTCGCTCAGCTCCAGCTATCTCAACAGCTTCTTCCAGCTCCAGCGCAGCGAGGTGAGTGCCCCAACCGCCATGATGCCGAGCCCTCGGCCGCCTTCCGCCCCACGGGGGACCGCGGGGACGCTGCCCCACGCCGCTGTCCCGCTAACCCGTGTTGACAGTGTGGTAAATGGTTACCGGGATCCGACCGCCCCGCTGCCAGAAGTGCGGAGGAGGTGGAGGGACGGGCGCACGGAAAACACCTCGTCCTTACTAACAGCGAGACGTGCCCCCTCTATTTAAAAGTGATATTTAAATCACTTTCTTCTCTCTGGCAATAGTCAATCACTTTTGTATCTATCTTTATAGGCTAAGAAAGTGTAAGAAGGGACGTGACAAAAGCAAAAAAGTTGAGCGTGCGTTTTGTCGGGCGAGACTGGGCTATTGGGACCCAAGGGAAGGAAATTAAATAACTCTGGGGCAGGCAGAGACAATCCGCTGTGGAGCGCCTTGCCACAGGAAGTTGTTGGGGTCAAGCACTTCTGCAATGGGGGTCTCCACTGGTGCATGGCAGCTAAAACCCTCCAAACAGCAGAGCTGTGCCTTGGGGAGGGCTCTTGCCTCGGGCGTTCTGTGGTGGCTGCACTGGGTGAGGGTTTGCAGTGCTGTGCCCAACCTCCGGAGCACTGCCCAGAGAGGGGTGTTTCTGAGTCTTCCCAGTACAGGCTTCAGAAGTGTTCTCAGACAAAATACCTATTTCTAATCCATCAGTGATGGGGCTGTTCAATGAAAACCACTCAAATTCCCCACCAGTCACCATATTACAGCTGTTAGGAGTGAGGCACTCAAGCTGTATACACATTCTTTTATCCTTAATTAGAAATCATTTCTTGCTTAAGAATCTTGCAAACACATCCAGTCTGAGACAACTATTGAGACAACTGAAACAAACTATTTTTGAGAGCATATAATTCACAATCCAGTCAGCCTGATGCACCCTTAGCAAGCATATAACACAGAATACTTGATGTAGGAAAACACATCCTTTGCAGCACATAGATTTTGCTGGAATAGGCAGCATACCACAGCCCCCTGTTACCAGATAGGTTTTGCTACTCCATGTGAACCAAGAGCTTTGTGCTCCCCAGGTAGTCACAAGAGCCAGGTTCAGCTATATGTCCACTGCCCAGTCCTGGGGCTGGTGCACTCAGGGTATGTTGTGCTTATTCTGGCTCCTTCTTCTGGGGAGAAAGAAGGCAGAAAAAAACAACCCCGAAACAAAGAATCACCCTCAAAAGCAGATGAAGGGCACGTGCACAAAGTCCCCAAAACAGCTTCCAGAATTTTTCCTGAAGTTTCTCCTGACTTCATTCTCCTGTTTCTACTTGCACTTTTCACAAATAGGAGTTAATCCTTTTGTCACACTCTCTCCCTTTCCTCTTGGCTCACATCTCTCTCCATTTTTCCCCTCACACCCCTTTACCACTCCCCTTTGGAGCACTGTCTCCCTGGCTCCTCAGGATTTACCCAGGTCACCCTGCAGGCAGCAGCCAAACCTGTGCCACCCACTGGCCCTGCTGTAGGGAGCTGCCACCTGGGCCACACTGTGCCACAACTCATTACCCTCTGAGGGAAGGGATCTTGCACAGGTCATGTCTTTGGTTCCAGGCTTAACCTGAGCTGTGTATTAATGCAGCTCATGCTTGGGGATGAGGGAAGGGGCATGGCCACCTCCTAGGGCACAGCAGCACCCACCGAGCGTGCTCTGAAGGAAGTGGGAATGCTTTCAGCTCCCCCAGCTAATGCTGCCTGCTTATACAGCTGCTTCCATTGACAGGTTTAGAAAGTGTTACGGATGATCTTACTCAATAGGAAAAGTTCTGTCCATATGCTAGATGTTTTGCTCTTTCCAGAAACCAAGTTAGGCTGCTTTTAGGCAGGAGCCACCCAAGAGTTTCCTACAGTGTCATCTCTCAGTTCTTGAAATTCTAACATCTGTTTATTTGCAGGTGCCAGTCGGCATAAACTGAGTATTTTGAGTGTGTAGAACTATTTTGGGGAGCAACAGTGCTGTGTGCTACTTGTGCATCAAGTGGGCTTATGCTATCTTTGGAAGACACGTAGCCTTCCACAGTTAAATCGTTGACTGTTTTCTGCACAGTGCTTGCTTTGGCTGGCATTTTTTTCCTCCCAGTTTTGTCCTGGATTGGCTTAGCCAGGAGCTGGGCTGTGACAATGATTGACACATAGCTGTACACAATATTTGGAAAGTGACCTAATGAGTGGCCAAAATAGCAACAGATTGAGAAATGGTAGGATCATAGGATATAAAATAGTTAGGCGTCTTGTATGCTGCCTTGCGATTGAAAATTTCTGGAGGAGATTGCTTAGGATGAGAAACAGCACTTGTAAGAGGCTGCTGTTATATTGGGTTTGCAAGTCTGCATGGCAGTGCCTGTGTATGTGACCTGCATGCTGACCAAAGAGCTGGACAGAAACAAATAAATAAATAAGCCAGCACCCACAGAGTAGTCTTGCACTTCACCAAGATTTTTGTCCTCCAGACTTTTTCCACTACAATGGATGCCTTCTAAATAAACATGATGAACACAGCTGTTTGGTACATAAAAGCCCATTGTACCCAGAAAAAAAGCAATAATAAAGGTTTAAACAGTAAAGTGACAATGAATGTTTTATTCCATATGTAAGACCCATTTTGAAAAACAGACCTGCTTTAAATAAAACTTTACTGCAGCATTTGTTGTCCCAGATATGAAGAGAAAGCATGTTAGAACATTAAGATGCATTTAATTGGTTACTGAACTGAACTCCACCCTCATTCTAACACCATCCGTCAGAGCCACGTATCTGAGGTTTTGTGGTGGGGCTGGGTGCATGGGACTTAGGGCATTTGAGACACAGCCAGGTAACTGTGGCTTTGTGTCACTGAGTGGTATAATTGAGAAACCCAAAATAATGGTACAATAGGGTCCTATGGCATTTTCCTACTCTCACAGTGGGTTTCCTACTAAATCAGTGCTGACTTCAATCGAGAGGAGCCAGCCACAAGTAACTCAAAGTTACCATAGTATAATGAAACGTGTTCCTTCCGACACAGAGTGCTAATTCTAGCACTGGCCAATATTTACATGAGAAGGAGCATGAGTCCTAATGAATTCTTTGCCCACGTACAATATTTTGAATGTCTTTCCAAGAGGGGAATTCCTTCCAGAAACCTCTACAGCAGCCGCTTTCCAGACCTTAAGCATTTTGTACTTGAGCAAAAATAACTGCATGTTTTGAATTAGAAAATAATCACTGTTTTTGAGAAGTAGTTCATGCTTTTGACTCAGGGACTTCCAGACCCATTCCTTACTGTCAAGAGGGGAACTAATTGGGAATGAGAAAACATGAGCTAGTTCACTTGGTTACATTAAAGTGCAGATCACAAAGGAAGGAAGGAAAATTTGGAAGGGGAAAAAAAAAAAAAAAAAAAAAAAAAAAGGAATGTTTAGTATGGCAAAAAACACTCAAACCTGAGTGGAACAGAAGCACTGGGATCAGTGCTGCTTATCAGGCAGCCTCCCAGAGAAGAAAAGAGAAAGGTTATATATGTCATTGTCACACACACACACATTAAAGACCACTCTACCCCCTCCCTCTCACTCCCCCCCCCCACAGAAAAAAAAAAAAACACTTGCAAGAACAGCAACATTTATGGAAAGAAGCTGGCATTTCTGCATTTCTACTGAAAAAAAAAAACCAAAAAAACAAAAAAGAACAGTTTATATCAGACCATCCTGTTCACTGTTTTCCATAGACTTCTGGGCACAGCACGCTGCTTTGATACTTCTCAAAGTAAAATTTGTTCTTTAGCCTTGGTGGGTTAATTTGAAGGGTAACAGTAAGATTAAAAAAAAGTTCTCTGTAGTCTCAGTCCGCTACTGAGAGGATGGGAGATCACCCTACAATATCAGACTTCTGTCCCATTAAATGAACTGTCAGATCTCTGAGAGCAGTTACGAATAAAAAACCAGAGACAAAACACCTTGTGAGAAGCTGCCTGTAGCCACAGAGATCTTAGGGCAAATATAGCAGAGATAAGGATTAGCAGAAATCACTGAAAGCTCTGCACCACTTGTGATTGCTCCTGTTTTCTGGTCTATCCTTGGTCACCATACCACAGAGCATATCTGTGGTCACACACAGCCCTTAGTGTGCTCAGCCAGGATCTCTTGTTTCTCTGCTGCAGACTAAACAACAACAGCTATCTCCTCTTATTTAAGCCTTCTTAAGTGTGGAGCAGTACAGATCATGAAGGCATGTTAAAAATAAATTCCTTAAAAGCAGTTTGGTTCCCGTATTTATTATTCTTCCAGTGAAAGTAGGATTAGACCTCAGCACAGTCAGACAGTGGGCAGCACCACAAAGCATCAAGTACACCGCACAGGACCGTTCCTGCAGCAAGGTTCTCTTACCTGGAGAAAGGCAATAAGGCAGGCTGACTGCTGGCCTCAACCAGCCCTCTCATCTGGAGTCATAGATGATACTATCACGCAAACTTGGATATTTGGCTCTTTATTTTTAAATGTAAACAGAGAAAGAATTATTTAAATACTTAAAGCATACATACAGGAAGCTAAGTCTGCAAATAAGATCTAGAATCTTCAATGCATTATCCTAAAAACGTTAGCAGCCTGACATAAGCAATTCAAGTACAGTGAATTTCACATATTTGAAAGAGAAAAAAGTAGACTGTATTACAGAATAATTAAACACCCCACCACGACTGCCTGTTGTAAAGTCCTCTTGAAAAAAATCCTGTAATACTAGTGATTATGATTTCATTGGTCTCCTTATCTTTATTTTTCTCAGTATTTTTTATCACCTCCAGTGAAACCATAGGAGTTGGACCTGATATTTATGGATCCATTCCAACTCAGGATACTCTGTGGTTTTATCATTCTGTGCAAGTGCTAACACCTCAGTGGCTTTATCCTTCTACCAATTTTATTGGGAATGAAATAGCTCAGCAATTCTTGTGTTGAGGGAACTTCTGCTCTCTAACTCAGGCT